GAGTCGGAAAGATAGACCAGTATAATTATGATATTGAATACAGAGAAGGAAAATTTCATGGAAATCCCGATGGACTGAGCCGAAGACCCTGCAAAAATTACTTCAGACATTGCTGCAAAAGAGAGGTTGAGCTAACCAGGCGCCATCAAGCTTAAGTCGAAGTGACTGAAGGTGTTGATGATGGTGAAGTGGAACCAAGTATAGACATTAAAGCAGAACTGGAAAAAGACCAATATTTGAAGCCAATAATTTATTTCCTACAAGTAAGTGTTTTGTGCCCTGCTTGGGAAAAAGGTGTCTAGCTCAAGCCCTATGACAAAGAACTATTGGGTACAATGGGACCAGTTGAAGCTTAAAGATGGTATTCTTGTCCAGAGATGGGAAGCTGCAGATGGAAAAATGACAACCTGGCAAACAGTTATACCGAGAAAGTTACGGGAAGTTGTGTTGCGTCAATCCCATGATAATTTAACAGGATTACATTTTGGAGTTAAGAAGACATTGAGTCACCTACAACAGAGATTTTACTGGATAGGTATGAAGCATGATGTGAAAGAATGGTGCAGGACCTGCAGTACATGTTGTGCTAAAAGTGGACCCAAGCATAAGGGACGTGCTCCAATGAAGTCATATCAAGTTTGTGCACCAATAGAAAGAGTAGCCATTGACATTGCTGGTCCTTTGCCCCAAACTTGTGCTGGAAACAGGTACATTTGTGTGGTGATGGATTATTTCACCAAGTGGCCTGAGGCATATGCAATACCAAATCAGGAAGCTACAACTGTAGCTTCAGCTATTGGTGATTTCTTCTTCAGGTTTGGTATGCCATACGAACTGCATTCAGATCAAGCCCGTAACTTTGAATCAGCTGTGTTCCATGAATGCTGCAAGTTGTTTGGCATACAAAAGACCAGGACAATGCCACTTCACCCACAGTCTGATGGGATGGTAGAAAAGTACAACTGGACACTGGGACAGGATACGGCAAACATTTGTAATAGCTGCCAAGATGCCTGGGATGCATTACTGCCTC